TGCCTATCAGAGAAGGAATGTAAAACTGATTATTAAAATGAAATTTTAAAGTAATGCCAATGTGATATTTGAGGTCATTGGATTGCTGGGATCACTTATGTTGTCAGTAATTAATAGTATTTTGAAATTAAATTTAATTATTGTTTTGACTCATTCATTACCATTGGGTGGCCAGCACCTCACCATGGAACTCTTGCCTGCTCAGAGGAATAAAACCTCTGAAGAAGTTAAAATCTAAAATAATTAGTAAAGAACAAAAGACAGAGTCAGAATTATAGTTTTAAAGGATGGAGCACCTGATAGGTTCAGCCCACACAGGAGCTGGAGCTGGACAACTAAAAAATGGCTCCTGTGGCTTATTTAAGACAGTACATCAAAGGCAGGGATATGATTTTAGGGGTGGAGTCTTGCTTAGTGATGTCTGGCAGTCAGCATATTGATTGGCATCTTGGCAGGTCATACCCATCTCTGAGAGGCTGTGGGCTGCAGCAGGTCACCCCATCTCCCATGCTGTGTGGGACCTGGGGCAGGGCTGAATATGACTTACAATGTAGCTGGGTGGTCTTGTCCAGAGGAAATTTCCACTGGACATTCCCAGACACAAGATTCCCCTATTCACTAGGCTGTGGTGCTAGTGTAGTCCACACATAGCCCATGGATGGCTCTCAACAATTCAGGTTGAATAAGTCTACCTGAAAAGTTTATATAACCCCACTATAACTTACATCTACACAGGGGCCTTGAATACATTAATAAGTTTAAAAATGAGCTTTAAATATACTGATTTTTCATTATAGTTAATATTGCTTTATTTTATAACATCATAATTCTTAATAAAAGTTTTTTTCTTCATGTTTTTAGTATTCAGAGGGTTTATCCTGGGAGTCATTTGCTGTCACTATTGTTCAGTTGCTCGGAGTTACTATTGGATTGGATTATGATAATAGTGCGCACTGCTATTGCTCAGGAGAAACATGCACAATGACACCAAAAGCAGTGTAAGATAATGTTCTTTGTTATATGTCTTTTTAGTATTATATTTGTACTAATCAAATTAAAGTGATTTGCAATGATATAACACTATCCCAAATGACTTTAGAATTAAATTTCTTTTCAAATGTGAATAGAACACTTACCAAAATAGGCCATGTGCTGTCAGGATTCTCTACGCCTGGGGAAACTCTTCATCTTTCCTGTTTGCTGGAATCTGGATTGTATTTTTTTCTTGTGACCAGTTCAAGGACACCCTCTATAATCAAACAATGTAAATTTTGAAATTGTAATTATTGTGAAAGATCCATATACTGAAAACTATAATACATTGGTGAAAGAATTTGAAGAAGACACAAATAAATGGAAACATAATCATTGCTCATTAAAATTCTCATTAAAATGTCTTTAATATCCAAAAAGTCTACAGATTTAAATCAATCCATATTAAAATTCCAATGACATTTTGTTTTTTATTTGTGGCTGAGTAGTATTTTCATATACATATGACATAGTTTCTTAATTTATGTATCCATTGAACACAAGTTGATTCTGGATATTCTTGGCTATTATGAATAATGCTGCAATAAACATGTGACTGCAGATATCTCTTCAGCAAACTAATTTAATTTCCTTTGGATATATACCCAGTAGTGGGATTTCTGTGTCATATGGTAGTTCTATTTTTAATTTTTTGGGGAACCTCCAGACTATTTACAATAATGGTTACTCTAGTTTTAGTTTTCACCAACATAGTACAACAGTACATCCAACCCAACATTCTCATTTGTACTGTTTGCCTTTCTGTTTTCTTCTTGATTTTTATTTTGTTATTTTTTTGATTGAGACATAGTGCTTGTACAAATTTATGAGGTACATTATGATGTTTTGCCTATATTGGGCATTGTTCAAATTTGAGTAATTGGCATATTCATCATCTTAGACTTTTATTGTTTATTTATGGTGAAAGCATTCAAAATCCTCTCTTCTAAGTGTTTTGAGATATATTAATCCATTGTTTCTCATTATATTCACCTTTCCATGCCAGAGAGGATCATAACTTATTCTTTCTATCAAACTGTAAAATTGTATTCATTAATGAGCCTTTTACTCTCTCCCCTTTCCTCTATTCTTCCAGCGTCTGGTAACCACTGTTCTACTCTGAACTTCTATGACATATTTTTTTTGTATTCTAGTAATAAATAAGATGATGTGATGTTTGCCTTTCTATGCCTCACTCATTTAACATAATGTCCTACATTGTAAATGAATTTCATGCTTTCTATAGCTGAATAATATTCCAATGCAAAAATATGCTATATTTTCTTTACCACTTCATCTATTGATTAATGTTCAGATTGATTCTATATCCTGGGCAGTGGAGAATAGTGACTTAATAACATGGGAGTACAGGTATTATTATTATTGCTATCATTATTATTATTTTTATTGGTACGTTATGGTCATACATAGTAGTGGGATTCATTATGTTCTATTCATATGTATACATGCACATGACATAATATGATCTGTCTCAACCTAGTATCTTTCCTTTCACTTCCCATGATCCACTTACTCTACTGATCTTTCTTTTTGTTTTTTAACTTTGTATTAATACATGACAATAGAATGCATTTATGCATTATATCATACAAAGATGGGATGTCATTTCTTATTTTTATGAGTATACATGTTGCACAATCATATTGGTCATGTACTCACATATACACATAAAGTAATAATGTCTGTTTCATTCTACTCTCTTTAGTATCCCCACATCCCCTCCTCTCCTGCTCCTATCACTTCCCTCTACCTAATCTAAGATAATGCTATTCTTCCCTAGTGCCCCCCACCTTATTGTGAATTAGCATCCATATATTGGCCTTTGGTTATGTGGGATTGGCTTATTTTACTTAGCACGAGATTCTCCAACTCCTTCCATTTACTGGCAAATTCCATAGTTTCACTCTTCTTTAGAGCTGAGTAATATTTCGTTGAGTATATATACCGCATTTTTTTAATACATTCATCTATTGAGGGACACATAGGTTGGTTCCATAGTTTAGTTATTGTGAATTGAGCTGGTATAAACATTGATGTGGCTGTAGTATGCTGATTTTAAGTCCTTTGGTTATAAACCAAGGAGTGGGATAGCTGGGTCAAATGGTGGTTCCATTCCCAGTTTTGTGAGTATGTCTTTGGTATTTTAATAGAAATTGTATTAAATCTGTATAATGCTTTTTGTAGTATGATCATTTTGACAACATTAATTCTGCCTGTTCAGGAGTAGAGGAGATCTGAGGTATTTTTCAATTTCAATTTCTTTCTTTAGTGTTCTGTAGTTTTTGTTGTAGAGGTCTATCACCTCTTTCATTGATTCCCAAGAATTTTTTTTGAGGTTATTGTAAATGGTGTAGTTTTCCTCAGACCTTTTCAGAGGGTTTGTCACTGCTATACAGAAATGCCTTTGATTTATGGGTGTTGATTTTATATTCCGCTACTTTGATGAGTTCATTTATTAGTTCTAGAAGTTTTCTGGTGGATTTTTTTTTACATTCCTGGGATGAACCCCACTTGATAGTGGTGCACTATCTTTTTGATATGTTTTTGTATTTGATATGCCAGAATTTTATTGAGAGTTTTTGCATCTATGTTTATCAGAGATATTGGTCTGAAATTTTCTTTCTTTGATGTGTCTTTATCTGGTTTTGGTATCACAGTGATATTAGCCTCATAGAATGTGTTTGGAAGGGTTCCCTTTTTTTATATTTCACGTAATACTTTGAGGAGTCTTGGTGTTATTCTTCTTCGAAAGTCTTGCAGAACTTGGCTGAGAATCCATCTGTTTCTGGGCTTTTCTTACTTGGTAGGTTTCTGATGGTGTTTTCTGTTTCATTACTTGAAATTGATCTGTTGAAATCATGTATGACCTCCTCATTCAGTTTGGGTAGGTCATCTGTCTCTAGAAACTTGTCAATGTCTTTGAGGTTTTCTATTTTATTAGAGTATAAATTTTCAAAATTGTTTCTAATTATCTTCTACACCTCAAACGTTTCTGTTGTGATATTTCCTTCTTCATCTCATATTTTAGTAATTTGAGTTTTCTCTCCTTTTCTCTTTGTTATCATGGCCAGGGGTTCACCTATTTTATTTATTTTCTTCAAAGAACCAACTTTTTGTTTTGTCAATTTTTTTCAATTGTTTCTTTTGTTTCAATTTCATTGATTTTAGCTCTGATTTTAATTATTTCCTGTCTTCTACTGCTTTTGGTGTTGATTTGTTTTTCTTTTTCTAGGGCTTTGAGATGAAGTGTTAGGTCAACAAGTGCCTTTTTATTCTTTAATGAATGCACTCAGTGCAAAAACTTTCCTGTTAGTACTGCCTTCGTAGTGTCCCAGAGATTTTGATTTGCTGATCTTCCTTCTATTATGAACACCATGCTGATGACTTTTAACACAGTAATTGAGTATATACACAGTAGTGAGATTTCTGAATCTCATGGTCATTCTATTTTTTGTTTTCTGAGGAACCACAGTGGTTTTCTGTAGTAGTTGTACTAATTAATGTACAATCTCACTTATAGTGGATAAGCAGTGATTCTAATTGATCTCTCGTTCTGGTGGTGCCAGGATTACCTTGTGCTTTCAGTGTGATTTACATTTGGTCTTGGGATAGAGGGAATGTATCTGAGCTACCTTTTGTTGCCAGGTTGTGGTTCTGAAAATATTAAACCTGGATCATCTTTTATTCAGTGTGGAGATATACCCAGATATATATGTCCTATGTGTCCAAACATGTTTATCTATCAGTTGGTTTTTCTGAATTCTTCTTAGATTCTTGCATTATTTTCAGAGTTTATACTTACCAAGGAGAAGCAGGGAAAATAAGTCTATGCCATGTTTTCTCAATGATAAATCTATAACCAATGTTTATTTGAAAATTTAAAATTATGAAGGGCAAAATTATGCTCTTAATATTAACACTAACACTCTTATATTTTACAGAAACAGCAAAAATGTAATTAAATATATAAAATATATTAAATATTGAGGCCAAAAGTTAAAATTCAATTGTTTGGCACTAGAAAGAGAAATAAGAAGGATGTAGTTCTTGTATTTAAAAACTGAAAGGCCATAGGAGATTTTATTTATATACATATGTTAAAATTTATGTATTCATATATATTTAAAGGATTTTTGAATTTGTGGATTTTGATATTTGAGTCTAGAGTACAGGGAGCCCCAGGATAAATCCCTTACAGATATTGGGGGTCACCAACACTGGTTCTTATTTATGGCAGAAAAGAATTTTTAGAATATATATATTTTTAATTTTTTTTCTTGTTGGAATTATAAAAGTTTGTTAAAGCATTAGCAATATAATTGATGTTTTTAGAAGTGTACTTATTTTTTCAACAAAGAATAAATGATTGCTCTTAAAATTTTTCTCCAAAAATATGAAATATCTAGAGATATACAGCAATGATTTTTGTCATACCCATATTTTTATATTTTAGCTATGCTGCTGGTATAAAGGATTTCAGCACTTGTAGTGTGGATAATTTTAAATATTTAACCTCAAAACATGGCCTTTCATGTCTTGAGAAGAATCCTTTTGATATGCCAGTTCGGGTAGAAGCACAAAGGAAAATATGTGGCAATGGAATAATAGAAGGTACTGAAGAATGTGATTGTGGCACTTCAAAGGTGAGTAGAATTTTTTTTCAATTTATTCTCAGTTTCTTATATTTGTGTATAATAGTAAGAAAAGACAAAAAAAAATCCTTTATCTTTTAGTAAGAAAGATTTAAAAAGGGCATTTTTGGAGGGGAAGATGGAAATCTTTATATGTCATAATTTTATTTTTTGAAGAGAACAAATAGGTTTCTTAAATAATGTTTGCCTTCAGACATTATTTACTGTATCAGCTAAAAATTTAATGACCACAAAGACTATCTAAGCTGTTGAACAACATGCTCTTAACAACAGCAGTAAGGGAAGTCTACAAGACCCCCAAAGAAAATAGACTATATCCAACAGAACAGCAAAATGTTATTTCATAATATATACAGAAAAAAATTGTCCTGTTTTCAAATAAAATCAATTAAAATATTCTCAAATTAAATCTATTATTTGTCTAAAATATAAAAATATAAACCAAAAATCATACCGAAGGATGAAAGATAATAGAGGAACATCAGCAAGCTGGCAAATTGAACCTGACTAATTGTTGTAACCCTCTATGAAAAGGAGGTCAGTGGTGAAAACTCTGTGGAGCACAGGTATTCAGTTTGACCACATAGAGACCATAAGGAAATAACTTGACTCTGCTACAAAGTAATACCACTTGGTATGATCTCAGAACCAGGAGCACTCTTCTCTAGGGTATATAAATAATTCAAAAAGCTAAACACCAAAACAACAAATAAGCCAATCAGTAAATGGTTCAAGAACCTGAAGAGACAATTCTCAGAAGAGGATATACAATCAATCAACAAATACATGAAAAAATGTTCATCATCACTAGCATTTGGAGCAATGCAAATCAAAACCACTCTTAGATTTTGTCTTACTCCAGTCAGAATGGCAGCTATTATGCATATAAACAACAAGTGTTGGCTAGAATGTGGGGAAAAATGTACACTCATACACTGATGGTGGGACTGCAAATTGGTGCAGCCATAGTGGAAAGCAGTATGGAGATATCTTGGAAAATTTGAAATGGAACCACCATTTCACCCTGCTAATCCTATCCTTGGTCTACACCCAAAGGACTTAAAAACAGCATACTACAGGGACACAGCCACATCAATGTTCATAGCAGCACAATTCACAATAGCTAAACTGTGGAGCCAAGATGCCCTCCAATAGATAAATGGATAAAAAATGTGGCATATATACACAATGGAATTTCACTCAGCAATAAAAGAGAATAAAATCATGGCATTTGTAGGTAAATGGATGGAGTTAGAAAAGACAATGCTAAGTGAAGTTAGACAATCCCCCAAAACCAAATGCCAAATGTTTTCTTTGATATAAGGAGGCTGATTCATAGTGGGATAGGGAGAGGGAATGGGAGGGATAGATGAACTCTAGATGGGGCAGAGGGTTGAGAGGGGAAAGGTGGGGGACATGGGGTTATAAATGATGGTGGAATGTGATGATCATTATTATCCAAAGTGCATGTATAAAGACATGAATGGATGTGAATATACTTTGTATACAACCAGAGATATGAAAAATTATGCTTTATATGTGTAATAAGAATTGTAATGTATTCTGCTGTCATATATAAATAAAAAAAGAAAAAGAAAAAGTCATTAAAGACATATAGTATTTGAACAACATAATAACGACCTAATTATAATGTTCAGAATATTTTTTTACAGCTGCTCAGTATACATCATTTAAAAATATATTTTGTTTTCTCTCTCTCTCTCTCTCTCTCTCTCTCTCTCTCTCTCTCTCTCTTGTTTTATTTTTTTTTCTGTATTGGGAATTGAACACAGAGATACTTTATCACTAAGCTATACCCAGCCCCTTTCCCTATTTTTTTTTCTTTTTTCTTCTTTTGTGACAGATTCTCACTAAATTGCTTGAAGCCTCATGAAGATGCTGAGGCTGGCCTTAAATATGCAGCCCTCCCCCTCAGCCTCACAAGTCATTGGCATTACAGGCATGTATCACCACATTGGGCTTTCACATTATCTTTAAACATGGAACTTAAAAAATATCCAATTAGTCTTCAAAATACTAAAATTACACAGTAAGAGACTGAGTGAACACTGGTACTATTTTATTGAAAAGCTTTTGGCAATAAAAATATATCAAATATTTCAGTATTCAGTTCCAATTACTGCCCGCTGGCCCTCAGTCTTTAGCCAAGTCAAGCCTTTGGAGAATATAAGCAGGCCAAAACTTATTGTATGTATTGTATTTCAATGGAAATTTATATATTTAAATGTTTATATTAGAAAAGGGGAAAAAGGCAGAATACCCAGTAAAATAAATGTTCATTCAAAGTGTTGAAAAAAAACAAATTTAACTTGATAAAAGTAGAAGACAACAATAAAGACCCAAAATCATCTTATACAACCATTATGAAGTAGAGACCCTGGGGAGAAAATCTGCTTCCTTTGAACTGAAAAAGTAAAAAAAATTCAGAAAAAATTAATGAAGCCAAATAAGAAAAGGCATTAACAACGAATATCATGACTGAAAAAGAGAAAACACACCAAAACTTTCAGCCAGAGAGTATATGATGAGACATGTTATATTAATAAAATCTGAATTGTTTTATAACTATTTAAATAGTTGTATTCATATTTTAAATACTTTAAGTACACCAAATGACTTCTCTGTTAAATTCTTTCTAATACTGAAAGAAGTAATAATTCAATTGTTCTCACAAACAATTCTCTATTCATTTTATGAAGCCAGTGTAAACTTGAAACCAAAAGAACCCCCCCAAAACCAAAAAACAATTTGTGAAGAACATTGTAAGAAAAAAAAAACTAAACTATAAGTTAGACTCACTCATGAACCTATATGTGAAAATCCAAAATGCATATTAACAAGATTAATATGAGCTTATTTCAAGAATATAAGCATGATTTAATATTTAATAATAAACCAGTCTTATTTACTACAGTAAAAGAAATAAGTTGGTGCAATGACACACATCTGTAATCCCAGAGGCTTGGGAGGCTCAGGTAGGAGGATTGCAAGTTTACAGTCAGCCTTGGCAATTTATGAAGGCACCAAGCAGGTGCGTGAGACCCTTTCTCAAAATAAAAAAAAAAAAAAGGATGAGGATGTGGCTCAGTGGTTAAGCATCTTTGGGTTCAATCTCCAGTAACAACAGAAAAAATAAATAAAGAAAAAACTAATATGATAGATCCAGTTAAAAAATTTAAAACCATTAGATATAATTAAACAACAATTCATAAGCCTTCTAGGGAGTGCTGATCAATAGAACTTTATGTAGAGATGGAAATGTTCATCTATTCTGTTCAGTATCTGATATGAGTTGTCTAATACTATCCACCCATGGTTATTGAGCACTTAAAATGGCCTTATGTGACTATGCAATTGAATTAGTAATTTCATTTATTTATTATTTTTAGTATTTTTGATGCTTAGAAATTTATTTTAGTCACTAGAGCTATTTTAGACTTACTTAAACATGACCTTCTTTTAATACAATATGTGTGTAAACAAAAAGGAAAGTATAAGCACAATAATTAGATGTAAATTCCTAAAACAATCTTCATCACTAGTCTGATTCTTCTGAATTACTGTTTTAACTTTAGATTTAAAAATAAATTGTAGAGTCACATGGAGTTGTAAGAAATAATACAAAGATTCCTTGCACACTTGATCAGTTTCTCCTATCTTAAATCTTAATATTTTGTAATACTAGAGCATATCACCAGGAAATCAATACTGATATAATGCATTCATTTTATTTAGATTCCTCAATTTTTTACTCTGTGGTAAACCACCCTTGGGTTAAACCTCCAGTACAAAAAATAAAATAAAATAAATGCAGGAATATACAATATTTAAAGAAAATGATAGTTAATGAAGTACTTCATAATATTCCTCTAAGTTTTGGCTTCATAGTGGTATTGTTCAAGTTATATATTTTTTTTCTTTTTTTCAAGCTATATTTAATGTACAGAAACAACACATTAACAAAATTCTAAATGAAATGTTGATTTCTGTAAATATCATATAAAAATGAGACTACTAAAACTAAAAATGTGAAAAAAGTAGTTTGTAAAGTTTTGTGTTGCAGTTTTATTTGATGGTACTCAATTATGTATGATTCATAACACCTAGTATTCCTTTACAGAATTGTACACATAAAGACTGTTGTGATCCTTCATCATGTAAGTTAAAACCCTCAGCAGTATGTGGCTCTGGAGAATGCTGTACAGTACAGTGCAAGGTAAGTGGCAATTTGTAGTTGATAATAATTCAATGTTCTTTACTTAAGGTATGTGTGTTTTAAGGAGATAGAAAACATTGATACCACTTTTGGCCTTTTTCTGTATTATATTCAAATACAATTGGACCCAATTGCATACTTTATTCCATTTAGTAATCTTTCCTTTCCTATACTGTCATATGTCTGATGTTTTTACTCTCCTAACTTGACTTCCCATTTCTATATGCCATTATGAATCTTCCTGTGAACCCTCTAAATTTTTTCTATAATCACCATGCCCATAGCAATTATCTTATGTTTTTTAAAAAAATCAAAGTTACATAGGATTAAAAAGTTAGTGTTTTATTGGACAAATTTACTTCACTGTCTTCAGATAAAATAGTCTTTTCTTTTACAATTCATTCAGGTATTATTGCAATAATTCATTGCTGCTTTATCAACACTATTTAAAGAAGTTCCAAGTCATTTCCCACATGTACCCAGCATAGTTTACTGGGTTCTAAGAAAAAAATTCTGAATGAGGTAAATAACAAAATCCATAGATTAGAGAAAGTATATGATTTTAAAATTAAATTATTATATAATTCAAAAGCTAGTTCAGGAAAATGATCTTAAGAAATTGCAATCCTTAACTTATTAAGAGAGCATCAGAAGAAGGGAATGGAATAAAATAAAATTAAAGGTATATGAAATGAAGATTACAAAGTACATTTGCAAATTAAACATAATATCAACATAATATAGTGAATATTAGAATAGCTGTGGCTTAAATTATTGACATAGAAGAGAAAGAAGACACATCCAAATATAAGGATTAGATCAGAATGAAAAGAGAAAAAATAGGTAGTGATGAAAACATGATTTTTACATTTCTTCTTTATTTATCTGTTTTTAATTGCTTTATTATAAATATTAACTCATATAGTATAATTATTCAAATTAATGTGATTAACTGCAACATTTTCATACATGCATATTTCATGCTTTAATCCTAACCAACCTTTCTACTAGTCTCTCTTGTTTTTTTCTTTTGCTACTTCCCCCTGATCTTCTATACCTTCTTTAGTAGTCTCTCATCTATTTCAGGTTTATTCACTTTTTTAAAAAAGTATTGTATATGAGAAAATATGCAATACTTGTATATCTGTGTCTCCTTTATTTTGTTTAATATAATGTTGTCCAGCTGTAAACATTTAATTGCAAATAATAATATTTAATTTTTGTCTATAATTGTCATATTTTCTTATATTAATCTTTTGATGATCTCCTAGCCTGATTCTATACCTTGGCTACTGTGAATCATATTATAATAAAGATAGGCATGCAGATTTATCTTCTAATGTTGACTTGGATATCATAGTTGAATCATATGGTAATTCTATTTTTATTTTTTGAAAAACCTCCACATGAATTTCTATGGTGGCTGGGTTCCCTATTTTACTCCACAGGTATGTGTGTCTGTTGGATTTGTTGTACTTCCAGCATTGATTTAATGAAATTAGAAATCAACAGCAAGGTCACCACAAAAACTACACAAATGCATGGAATACATTTTTAAGTGATGAATGTGTCATTAAAGAGATTAGAGGAGATATTAAAAATTCTTAGAATTAAATGAGACTAGAAATGCAACAAAAGTGACAGAAATTGTGAAAAAATGAACTCAAATTGTCCGTTTGCAGATGATGTGAACCTATACCTAGAAGAATTCTAGAAGGTAAACAAATTCAGTAAAGTAGTAGGATATAAAATAAGGATACTGCTTTTCTATATACCAATAATGAATCTGAAAAAGAAGTCAGGAAAATTATCCAAGAAAAAATGATAAACATAGGAATAAATGTAATGAAAGATATAAAAGGCTTCTACAAGGAAAATTACACAACAATGAAAAATTAATAAATGAAGATACTAGAAGATGAAAAAAACTTCCATGTTCACATATAGGCAAAGTTAACATTGTTATCATAGCAATTTTACTAAAAGTAATCTACAGATTCAATGAAATTTCTATCAATATACCAATGTCATTCTTCACAAAACTAGAAAAAAATAGCCTAAAATTAATATGGAAGAAAAAGAACAATCAGAATAGCTACATTGATTCCAAGCATGAAGAGCTATGCTGGAGGAATCACAATACCATTTTTAAAATTACACTACAGAGCTATAGTAACAAAAACCACGTGGAACTGGCATAAAAGACATGTAGACCAACAGAATAGAAGATTCAGAGACAAGTACATATGGATACAATCATCCTTGACAAATGTGCCAAAAACACATGTTGGAGAAAAGACAACCTTTAAAAAGAACACCTAGCATAACACCTACTATATGTCCTCTCTAACATGCCATAGTTAGAAATGTGTCTTTATATGATATATATCTAGAGACTGGCATTTAGTAGGCCCTAAAAAATATCAATAGGTGCTATGGTTTAAATATGTCCTCCAAAGATGATAGGTTGGAAACTTAATCCTTAATGCGGCAGTTTTGCAAAGTGGGACCTTGAAGTGGTTATTAGGTTTAGGCAGGTCTGACCTCATAAATATATTGATTCCATTAATAATCAGTGGGTTCCACACCCCAGCAGTGAGTTCCTAATGAAAGAATTAAGTTGAGCCTCCTCCTCTCCACCTTCCCTCTCTTTCATTAACACATATGCACACACCTGCCTCTTTCCCTTCCACATTCCACCATGGGATGATGCAGCAAGTAGGTCCCTTAGTCATAAACTTTCTGGACTCCTTCTAGAAAACAAATATATTTTCCTTATTAATTATCCAGTCAATTATATACTGTAATAACAATACAAAGTAAACTGAGATAATGAGTGAATGAATGAGTGAATTCCATCAGCAACGACAATTCTACCAAGGGTAATCTCCTGTCCTAACACTGAGTTAAAAGGAAAATGACTTGGAAATTGAGAGGGAGTAGTGATTTAAAAGGAAAGATATTTTAATATATTATTTTTAGGGGAATAATAACTAAAAATGTGTGTGGTGGTTCATGAAATATATATGTTTGTTTCATTTTGTTTTTTAACTCAACTACAAAATGTGACCCAGTTTCAATGTATAAGGAAACCATTGACTTCTTCTAAAATTTGGGGAATTGTGGATTTTATTAATAAGTGCTGAAAGTGTATGGTTTTGTGTGTGTCCTTTGAAAATTTACGTAAAAAATTATCCTGGGAAAACACATTACCCTATGTAAAAAAAAAAAAATGAAAGGAGATCCCTCTCATCCTGCAGAAAAGTGAACTCAAAATGGGTCAGAGACCTAGGAATTTGATGAGAAACTTTGCAAGTCCTAAAAGAAAACATAGGGGAAACTCTCTAACATATAGGTGCAGACAAGGATTTCCTGAACAGAATTCCAAAAGTTCAGAAAATAATATCAAAAGTCAATAGAAGGTATTGGTTTCAAATTAAACACTTCTGAAGAGCAAAACAAGCAATTAAAGGCATGAAAGGAAAGCTACTCTTCCAAAAGAGGATTCATACGTAGAACATGAACATATGAACACAACCCCTCCCCCAAACAAGCAAACAAACCCAAATCACCCAATCAATGAATGGACATAGTAACTAATATAGACATTTTCTAAAGAAGTGCAAATGGCCAAGTGTATGAAAAAAAATGTTCAACATCATTAGCCATCATGAAAATGTTCATCAAAACAACACTGAGAATTCATCTCACCCTGCTTAGAGTATAATCCTCAAGAATTCAAGTCAGAATTAATGCTGGTGAGGAAGTAGGGGAAAGGAATTTTTTTTTGTACCCTGCTGGTGGGAATCTAAATTAGTACAGTACTATGGTTGGGATATGTGGTGTCTCTTAAAAGCTCATGTGTGAAACACTGTAAGAATGTTTACAGGGGAAATGATCAGGTTATGGAAGCTTTAACCTAATCAGTGCATGATTTTTATGAAAAAAAAAATCAAAACTAGAATCCAAACTCACTCATGAACCTATATGTAGAAATCCAAAATACATATTAACAAGGTAAATATGGGCTTATTTCAAGAATATAAGTATGATTTAATATTTAATAATAAACCAGTGTCATTTATTACAATAAGCTGGGTGCAGTGGCTTGGGAGGCTCAGGCAGGGGGATTGCAATTTCAGAGCCGGCTTGCAATTTATCAAGGCCCCAAGCAGCTTAGCTGGTGTTTTAATGATCTTTTTTGCTGCTTTAATTAAAATATCTGATAAGAAAAAGTTTGAGGCAAAAACGTTTATTTGGGGGCTCAAGGTTTGTTTCACAGCTCTCAGACCACAGACATGTGGCTGCATCCCCCAGGGGCTCCAGGTGAAGCTAATCAGAACGAAGCAGCTCATGTGACCAGAAAGCAGAGAGAGAGGGAACTACTCTCCAAATACAAAATATAGATCCCAAAGGCAACCCCCAGGGACTCTCCCCCCTCCGCCACATCCTACCCAGGCATTAGTTAATGCCATCAGAGGATTGATTTACTTATTGGGTTAAGGTTCCACAATTTAGCTATTGTGGATTGAGCCATTCTGACTGGAGTGAGATGAAATCTTAAAGTAATTTTGATTTGCATTTCTCTAATTGCTAGAGATGTTGAACATTTTTTCATATATTTGTTGATCGATTGTATGTCTTCTTCTGAGAAGTATCTGTTAAGTTTTCTATCCCATTTATTGATTGGGTTGTTTGGGGTTTTGTGTGTGTGTGTGTGTGTGTGTGTGTGTGTGTGTGTGTGTGTGTGTGTAAAGTTTTTTGAGTTCTTATATGTCCTGGAGATTATTGCTTTATCTGATGTGCTCCCCTTCTGTAGGTGTTCTATTCACCTCACTGATTGTTTCTTTTTTTGAGAAGAAGCTTTTCTGTTTAAATCCATCCCACTTATTGCTTCTTTATTTTATTTCTTTAGGAGTCTTTTTTATTTCATTTCACTTTAGGACTCTTGTTAAGGAAGTAGGAGCCTAATCTGACATGATCAAGATGTGGGCCTACTCTTTCTTCTACTAGGTGCAGGGTCTCTGGTCTAATTCCTAGGTCCTTGATTCACTTTGAGTTGAGTTTTGTGCATGGTGACAGATGGGGGTTTAGTTTCATTATTCTGTATGTATAGTTTTCCTAGCACCATTTGTGGAAGAGGATCTTTTCTCCAATATATGCTTTTGGCAACGTTGTCTACTATAACTGTATTTATGTGGGTTTGTTTCTGTGTCTTCTATTCTGTATCATTGGTCTACAAGTCTATTTTGGTGCCAATACCATATCTTTTTGTTACTGTTGCTCTATAGTATAGTTTAAGTTCTGGTATTGTGATGCCACCTATTTCACTTTTCTTGCTAAGGTTTGCTTTGGCTATTCTGGGTTTGATGATTTTCCAAATGAATTTCATGATTGCTTTTGCTATTTCTGTGAGGAATGTCATTGGGATTTTGATTGGAATTGCATTAAATCTGTATAGTACTTTTGGTAGTATGGTCATTTTGATAATATTAATTCTGCCTATCCAAGAACAGGGGAGATTTTTTCCATCTTCTAAGGTCTTGTTTAATTACCTTCTTTAGCAATCTGTAGTTTTCATTGTAGAGGTCTCTCACCTCTTTTGTTGATTCCCAAGTATTTTATTTTATTTTTGAGGCTATTGTAAATGGAGTAGTTTTTCTAGTTTATTTTTCAGACGATTTTCACTGATGTACAGAAATGCCTTTGATTTATGGGTGTTGATTTTATATCCTGCTACTTTGCTGAATCCATTTGTTAGTTCTAGAAGTTTTGTGATGGAATTATTTGGATCCTCTAGGTATAGAATGATATCATTGGCAATAGTGATAGATTGAGTTCTTCTTTTCCTATCTGTATCCCTTTAATTTCTTTCATCTGTCTAACTACTCTGGCTAGAGTTTCAAGAACTGTGTTAAATAGGAGTGATAAAAGAGAGCATCCCTGTCTTGTTCCAGTTTTTAGAGGTAATGCTTTCAATTTTTCTCCATTTAGAATGATATTGGTCGTGGGCTTATCATAGATAGCTTTTACTATGTTAACATGTGTCCCTGTTATCCCTAGTTTTTCTAGTGTTTTGAACATGAAGGGGTGTTGTATTTTGTCGAATGCTTTTTCTGCATTTATTGAGATGATCATATGATTCTTACCTTTAAGTCTATGCGATGTGATGAATTACATTTATTGATTTCTGTATGCTGAACCAACCTTGCATCCTTGGGATGAACCCCACTTGATCATGGTGCACTATCTTTTTGATATGTTTTTGTATTTGATTTGCCAGAATTTTGTTGAGAATTTTTGAATCTATGTTCATCAGAGATATTGGTGTGAAGTTTTCTTTATTTGATGTGTCTTTGTCAGGTTTTGGAATTAGGGTAAGATTGGCCTGATAGAATGAGTCTGGAAGTGTTCACTCTTTTTCTATTTCATGAAATAATTTGAGAAGTATTGGTATTATTTCTTCTTTGAATCTTTTGGAGAACTCAGCTGTGAATTTGTCTGGACCTGGGCTTTGCTTGGTTGATAGGCTTTTGATGTTTTCTTCTTTCATTGATTGAAATTGATCTGTTTAACTTGTGTATGTCTTCCTGATTCAGTTTGGGTAAATCATATGACTCTAGAAATTTGTCTATGTCTTTGGTATTTTCTTTTTTATTGGAGTACAAATTTTCCAAAGAGTTTCTAACTATGTTTTGTATTTCTGTAGTGTCTGTTGTGATATTTCTTTTTTTATTATGCATTTTAGTAATTTAAGTTTTCTCTCTCCTTCACTAGCATGGCTAAGGATTTGTCAATTTTATTTATTTTTTCAAAGAACCAACTTTTAATTTTGTCATTTTTTTCAATTGTTTCTTTTGTTTTAATTTTATTGGTTTCAGCCTTGATTTTATATTATTTTCTGTATTCTACTATTTTGGTGTTGATTTGTTCTATTTTCTAGGAATTTTGACTCTTGAACTTGAGAAGAGTTTGTTTGATAAACATAGATGCTCATTTGTTTGGGCAGATATATTTGTAATTGTTATGTCTTATTGGCAAATGGTTCCCTTACGCAGTATGAAATGGCCTTCTTTATTCCTTTTGATTAACTTTAGCTTGATGTCTCCTTTGTTTGATATGAGGATGGAAACCCTTGTTTGTTTCCATAGTCCATTGATTCATCTTCAGTCTGGGGATGTCTTTTCCTATGAGATGAGTCTCTTGTAGTAGCATATTGTTGGGTCTTTCTGTATTAAATCCAATTTGCCAGTCTATGTCTTTTTATTGATGAGTTTAGGCCATTAACATTCAGAGTCATTATTGAGAAATGGTTTGTATTCACGGTCATTTTGTTTATTGGTTTTTAACTTGGCTTGATTTCTCCTTTGGTTTTTCCTTTAGTGTAATACCTCCCTTTGCTGATTTTCATTGTTGTTTTTCATTTCCTTCTCATGGAATATTTTGCCAAGGACATTCTGCAGTGCAGGCTTTCTAGTTGTAAATTCTTTTAACTTTTGTTTATCATGGAAGGTTTTTATTTCATCATGAAATCTGAAGCTTAATTTTGCTGGATATAAGGTTCTTGGTTGGAATCCATTTTCTTTCAGAGCTTGGTATATGTTTTTCCCGGATCATCTAGATTTGAGGGTCTGGGTTGAGCAATCTGAAAAGATCCTAATTAGTTTACCTCTATATGTAATCTGATTCCTATCTCTTGTGGCTTTTAAAATTATCTCCATATTCTGTATGATAGGCATTTTCATCATAATGTGACTTTATGTAGATCTGTTGTGATTTTGTACTTTTTGTGTCCTCTAAGACTCTTATATTTGATTTCAATTTCATTCTTCATGTTTGGAAAATTTCTGATATTATTTCATTGAATAGATTGTTCACTCTTTGGTTTGTAATCTATGTCTTCCTCTATCCCAGTAATTCTTAAAATTGATCTTTTCATGTTATCATAATTTTTGGATGTTCTGCTCATGGTTTCTCTTACCATCTTCACTGTGTGGTCAACTTTATTTTCAAGATTATATATTTTATTTTCATTGTAAAGTTTGCCTTCTACATGATCTAATCTGTTGGTGATGCTTTCTATTGAGTTTTTAATTTGATTTATTATTTCCTTCATTTCAAGAATTTCTGTTTATTTTTTCAGAATATCTCTTTATTGAAGTAATCTTTTGCTTCCTGTATTTGTTTATATACCTCTTTATTAAAATGATATTTTGTTGGTTGTATTTTATCTCTTATATTATCCTTGAATTCACAGAACATTTTAATTTTGTACATCCTGAACTCCTTATCTGACTGGCCATGGATTGTAATAGTGTAGTGTCTTGGTTTGTTTTGGGGCACTTTCTTCCCTTGTTTTTTTATGTTGTTCTTCTGTCTTCCCTTCCAGCAGTGTGGACCCAAGGTATTATACTTTTTACCCTATAGGTTTTTAGTGTCCCTGCATAGTTCCAATACCTCTCCTTTAAGGTGGAGATAAATATTAACAGAGATTCTACTACAAACAATATACAGCCTTAAATCAAATTGCTCCTATTAAGACGTTTATGGTTTTGTCATAATGGACATAAATGGTGAGTTTAAATATTATCTACAATATTAAACAGCAGGTTTGCAGAAGGGTCAATAGTTTCTAAAATGGTGGACAAAGAGAACTGGGGGGCATATAGGATGAGATGTTAAAGAGGAAGGAGTTGAGGATATAAAGTTCTTAGGAAGTGTAAAGGAAGAATCAAAAGAAGTTGGCTAGTAGCAGCAGAAAAGAGAAAATAGAGAAAGAGATTTTGGGGGAGATAAGTATGGGGAAGACGATAGAGTACAAAAAACAAATAAACATAAAAATAAAAAAAGAAAAAAAGAATGTACAACACAACTGTAATATACTATTGAGATATCCCAGTCCTCAGTAGCCTAGTGCATTAAAAGTACTTGGTTTCACAAATGTTGAGGATGTGAGGGTGGGGAAAGACAGAGAAAAGAAAAAAAGAGAAAAGAAAAAAAAGGCTCAAAGGAAAATTAAAGGACAGTTTCTGTTGGACTTCTTTCCTGCTATCCTTTTTATCCAGTAGGTGGGGTTGTCTTTTGTTTGCTGGTTATCTGCACCCTCAGGATGGTGAAGGTATTAGGGTGGGAGGGTTGGTATTGGAGGTGAAACTCCTGAAGGTGGGGTATAGCACTTTCCAATCCCCTTTGGAATAGTGCACCCCAAGGATCTTCTTTGGGGCCCACTCATGTTTGTGGGTGCCTAACTTTATCTCCTTATATATCTCCTGTAGACCTCACAATTCCTAGTCTCTAATTTAGTCTCTATACTATATCTCACTTACCCCCTCTCTTTCTACTTCCCAATCAGGAAATTCTCTCTCCAGAGGACTTGTGGCCTGCATTATGGGTCCTGCACACCTGTCATGGAGAGCAGTTTTATACCAGACAGGTCAGGACCAGGCTTTGCAAGCTACAGACTGGCCACTAGCCACAAGCACTGTGCTGGGTTAGTGGCTATGTGGGAGGGGGGAGTTGGGGGACTATAGGTAACTTAATATTGCTTCTAGGCCCCAGCTGGTGTCCCAAGCTCTGAGTTGCCCCAACTAAAGATGGCGATGGTGGTAGTGAGGATAACCCAAGATGGCAACAGAAGTTTCCCAAGATGGAGGTGGTTGCTTTCAGAGATGGGGTGTCAAGGTGGGGAAGGTGGTGTCACTGGTCAGGTGTTCAGAGATGCAGCTCAGTGGTGTGCAGTGCTGTGGAGGCTGAGAGTCCTGCTCGGGCACAGCCTGGGTGATCCTATGTGGGCACTGAAGCTGGATGATCTGTGTGAGCTCAGTGACTGGGATTCCTGCAGGGGTCAGAGGTCCTCTAATAACTTGAAGAGAAACAGTATTCCCATGGCTTGAATCCTATGTCACAGAGTGATAAGGAATGCAGCCTCCCTCTAGCTTGCTGTCTTGGATCCCTGGTTTCTTAAAATTTTAACTCATTTCATTACCTTTATTCATAAAAATTTTCCTTGATTTAAATAAGATCTCATTATGAGTACATGCAGTTCTACTTTTCTATCACTAAACATCTCATAATGTTAGTTGTTTACATTAGATATGACTTGAAACAAATTTAGTTTCTATTTTACCTATCATAGGCAAGTGTTTTATTGATTACCAATTTCTTTGTCATTGCTACACCAAGTAGAATTATTTTTAACTGAATAAAGTACATTTTCCTGTGCCCAAGTATACATTTAAAAAAATATGTTTCGAGACTTGGTAATAAACACATTTCACATTGGTCCCTAGATCCAGTTGTGAAAAGGCACATAGTTCAACTTATGATTTTTTTGACAGATAATGGTAGTTTCATTAATATGTAATCAAGATGGTAATTGGGGGCAATCAGAGGTTATAAATGAATTTGCTCATTCCTGGTCCAGTTACAGAAGGAGACAAAACTTTGACCATGCATTTAGACAAAACATGTACAATAGACATAACATGTACAAAGTGAGAGTCTTGGTAAGAATAAAATGTTTACTCCCCTCGCCACCCCCACAATTAGAAGGAAAAATGTCATAAACAAAAATAGTATTGAAAATTTTCCAGCAACAGCAAATTAATCAAGAGAGTCAAGGAAAGAAATCCAACACATATGTTTTTTTTTCTCTACTCATTAATCATGGAGGTAGTAGGAAATTTAAGCTTGGTTCAGACAGCATTTGAGAAACTGAGTATTCATAGGTATGAAAAATATGTTAGAATAAAAGTAAAATTTTCATTAATACAAATTTGTAAAAGGAAACAAGTTGTGAGAAAATAGTGTTGATACTTTCTTATTATCCTTTTATTCATTTTAAATTTTTTTCATTGGTTTTGAGTTGAATGTTAATTCTGTAAGGTTGGGTGACACAAGTAGATACTATGTTTTCTATTGTCATCTATCACTTGGAGAATTTCAGTGATATTTGCTACAAATAATTTTCAATGCTCAAGAAAAAGTACTGAGAAACCTATTTTGGGGAGATGAATATCAGCTGGCCTCTGGGACCTTTGAAAACTAGAAAACTTACTTTGAATAAGATAATGATGAGGAATTGGGGCTTATATTGATGAGAAGACAGTTTCCAGAGTTGATGATTAAATGTTTCTTTGCCCAATCAAGCATGCAGAAGGCAGCCCTGAAATAGATCAGCTAAATCATAAGCACTGAATACTAACTGCAGAAATTATTTTCTTAGTTGTTTACAACATGATATATGAAATAAACTTTGTGTTGTGTATTCGCAAACTATCTTATTTTAAAATCAATATTTTTCAAAATATTTATGATGTATATTACCATTTCATAAACATTTGCTGGTTTCTTAAGATTGATAATACAGAGACTTCAGAAGCTACCCATAGCCATAATGGCTTACAAGGAATTTTTGTATTAATTTTTTAGCTCCTTCCTATTTTAGCAGCCTGCTTATCTTTAAGATTCTAACATCTCTTAGAAACATTATCCACTGTTTATGTGCACAAGAAATTCATTAATATCTATGTGATGCTTTAGTAGATAACCAGAGATTTTCTTTTCTTTTTACTTTGTGGTGGGGGGTGGTGGTTATTGAACCCAGGGGAGGTTTAATCACTGTGCAGCATCCCCAGCCCTTGATAGGGCCTTTCTAAGTTGCTGAGGCTGGCTTTGAACTTGCAGTCTTCCTGCCTTAGCCTTCCAAGCCTCTGGGATTTTCCATTTTTAAAATTGCTTTGGACAACATTGAATGGGAATTTAGAACCTAAAGAGAAAGAAAATTAAGTATCATCGATACTATTCTTATGATTCTTTCCTCTCCTAGATAAAACCAGCTAATATACTTTGTAGGAAATCATTTGATTCTTTCTGTGACTTCAAAGAATTTTGTGATGGGAAAAATGCATACTGTGTGGAAGACACTTTTTCTCGAAACGGACAAGAGTGTGATTCGGGTAGAGGCTACTGCTTTGATGGAATATGTCGGTCTTTTGACAAACAGTGTCAAAATTTAATCGGAAGTGGTAATGAACTTAATTTTTTCTCAGTTCTTTAAATATTATTATTCCAAAATAAATTTTATACTATAAAAAGGTAAAAATAATTAAAGTCCTGCCTAGTATATATTTGTGTTAACCTCATCAGACATTAATTCTTTCAAAAATGTTTTTGCTTGCGATATCTATAAGCAAATGTAGAAAAACAACTAGCAATTTATTCCTAAAATACCTTGATTGTTAGATAATGGAAATTCTTTGATTTGGTATCTATGCTTAGGGCCAGTTGTCATCCATAGTAACCTAAGTTAGTGTTCCTAATTTGTTAACTTTCCAAGTCCCTTTAAACATGTTTACCTACAATATTGGAATCTCCCAGATTTGTGGATTTTTATCCCAATTTACTCTTTCTTATAATTTACTAGTTTCAGAAATCTTATATTTGGGATTTAAAAAAAGAAGGAGAGGACAGTGCTCCTTTTATTTTAGTTTCCTACCTAGCAAACTTCAAAGATTTTTATAAATCCAAGGAATTAATAGATTAACTGCCTTGGGCAGTAAATAATAAAATGATGATGATGATAATGATAATAATAATAATACAATAAAATTCATATATGAAGAGCAAACTTTTTACATCTCTTTGTGTCTTTGGAATACACTTTTGTATGGCTCTCATTTCAGTTCTAGACCGTGGCTTAAACTTCTGATAGTTTCCACCTAACATTAACACAAAGATCTTCTGCAGAAAGGGTCCTTAAGTTTTGTGAAATGGCATCTCAGTCTTAGGATTATTTTCCTCAGCACATACAATTACTATCCCAAAAGCAATTAACCTTTTTAGGGGAACTCAGTCAAAGTCTGTTGTTCTTGTATGTAAACACCATTCTAATGGAATTCCTCACCCATAGGCAGAAACACAAGTGTCTGCTCACCTTCATCACAGACCTGCTCTGAGAATGAAGTATGGTGAAAAAGTATTGTGAGTTATAAACATAAAGGAATTAACAACTGCCATAAAATAAGTACATTTTGTTCAAGGATCTTTGAACTACCAAAGGAAAAGAAAACCAAAAACAAAAACAATACAAAAGAACTAAACAAGCAAACAACAACAACAAAACAACAGTCATTAATGTTGACTTAGGCCTACTGGGTTACAAATGCATCTTTTCCTCCGAATCTCTTCTAAGAGAATTCCCACAGTAGGTTACTGGAGTTCCTATTGTCATTGTCCTTTGACATTTTCTATTCCCTCCACAGTGCACCCTGGTAACTTCTGATGCAGCTATGGTCATCAAGGGTCTATCCTAAAATGTTCCAATCTCCAGTTACTCCTAATTTACCATGTCAGAGTGATGAGCACCTATTGTAAATTGAATTTTTCACAATTTAAAAACTAGACATAATTAAATATATCAAAAAGCTGAAGTGGATGAATATTGATGTCCTTTATAGTTTTAAAATTCAATAACTCTTATATGGTGATTATTAGGATACCAGGGAATAGGGATGGGGGCTGTAGGATGGGTTAAAGAGAGTTAATGATCTTTGAATTGGTTATCAGTATTACACTCTAGATAGTATTCCTCTATTAATACAGTAAAGTGTATCTTTACAATAGGCAGGGAACTAAGACACAAAATAATCATTTTAGGAGAAATAGGACCATCACTGCTTATTTTCCTAAAACTACAGGACCTTTCTATTAATTTTTCTGTTTACTTTCTGTTTAATATAGAACAAAGTCCACCAAACTTAAAATTAGAAGCTCTCTTTTTAATCTAGTTTTTACATCATCAACCTTTTAATGCTGGGGAACTATTCATCTCTTTCAGAATCAAATAATTATTTCCAGAGCAGATACATTATTTCTATTCTATAATACAAATTCTGAATTCTAATTTACCCAAGTTGTTGTCGTTGTTGTTTTTAGATTCTAGAGGTGGTTCATTTGCTTGTTATGAGGAAATAAATTCCAGAATTGATAGATTTGGAAACTGTGGCCCGGACGTTTGTCGTTTTCCGTATGTATTTACAAAATTACAATTATGCTTGGAATGTAGGTGATAGGTTGCTAAAATTATAGAAACTTTTCTGTACAAAACACAATGGCATATTTTGCCTGGGTTTCTTTATCTGAGCTAAACAATATTATTTACTGCCTATAATAACATGTGTTTAGAATCTATAATATAAAAGTAATCATAAAAAAACCTCTATTTATTATTGCAAGGGGATAGATATTATTAGGCAGTTTACATATATAATATATTTATGACATAAATTATATAGTTATACATCTCAAATGTGTGTATTAAAAATTACTCATCCCATTTTTTTGTATGAAAAATTGAATGAAATGATCACTTGTTCAAATTTAAGAAGTTAGTATAAGGCAGAAAAGGGCTGTCAGACTGTAACAATCATTTTTCTCTTGCTAAATTGCCTCATAAAACAAAAAGAGCCATATTGTAAGTCATTGGTAATTTTTTTAGAATATTATTTAGAAAAAAATGCTGAAGACCTAGGATTACATTAATAAAACATTCTTCTTAACTTAGCTGTATGCTAAGTTAAATAAAAGTAAGCTATAATTTCACATTTGGTAGGGAACCAAGACAGAAAGTCAACAATTTAGAAGAAATAGGGAAGGCCACAGCTACTTATTTTCTAACAACAGAAAACATATGTTATTAACTTATTTTTCTGAGTTACCTGTGTTATTTCAATAGTGATATTTTTCCCCTTATTTTTCTAGTAATACGCTATGTGGAAAATTAGTTTGTACATGGCCACATAAGGAGTTAATTTCAAGAGCAAATTTTTCTGTAATTTACTCACATGTACGAGATCAAATATGTGTATCTACATATCCTGCTGGTCGGAAACCAGCTCATGATACGTTGACCACTTACAAAACTCCTGAAGACAGAGATGAAACCTTTGTAGAAGATGGCACCATGTGTGGTCCTGACATGGTAATTAGATTACAAAAATTCAAGTTATTTTAAAATAGTTATTTTTATGGTTACACTTATTTTGATAGTATACTAACCATACATATTTCCCCAATTATTTTTATTGTGGTAGATTACACATAATAAAGACTTCCACTTTAAACATTTTGAAGTATATAATTTAGTGGTATTAAATATCTGCATAATGTTGAACAACCATTACTACCATGTGTTTCCATGACCCCTTTTCTCTTGTAAAACTTTACTAGTTGAACAGAACAATAGTTCTCCCATTCACTCCTTCCCCCAGGTCCATTCTGAGTTCTTTATTTATGAGTGTGACTCTACAGGTACCTCACATGGAGGGAATCCTTCAATATTTTTCTTTCTGATTTGTTGCATTTAGCATAAAGTTCTGTGATCTATACTGAACCACAAGTCAGTATTTCCTTTCATTCTTTTTAAGGCTGAATATTATTCTATTGTAAGTATATGTCATTTTTTCTTTATCCATTCATCAGCCAATGGATATTTGGAGGCTCACCCAGTTTAGCCATTGTAAATGTCACTATGAATGCAAGGATAAAAATATCTCTTTTAAGACAAGACCCCAATTTCAATTAGTTTTAGTATATACCCAGAAATGGGATTACTGAATATAGTAAATATATATATATATATTTTTTTGAGGAACTACCATAATGTTTTCCATAATGACTATCATTATATGTTCCTGCCAAAATTTCACAAGACTTCCATTTTCTCTGTTATCATCAAGACTTTTTATTTTCTGTTTTTTTCTTCCTTTTATTTTCTTGTTTTGATAGCACACATCTTAATGGATATGAAGTGCTATCTCATTGTAGCTTTTATATTTATATTTCTGTAATGATTAGTGATATGAAACATCTTTTCATGTACTCATTGGCCATTTGTGTATCTTATTGAGATCAATATCTTATTTGACCTATTATAGTCCATTTGTAATATTTCTGTCATTGGGCCTGTACCACATTATTATCATCACTGTAGTTTTGTAGTAAGTTTTGAAATCATAAAGCATGAGATCTTTACAATTGTTCTTTTTGCAAGACTGTTTTGCTCTTGGGTCTCTTGAGTCTCTATATGAATTTAAGTTCTGATTTTTCTGTTTCTGTAAAGTATATTATTGGAATTTTGATGAGAATTGCATTGGATCTGTAGATTACTTTGAATAGTATACACATTTTAATGATATTTTTTTGAAACCAAGAATGTGAAATGTGGTTCCATATATTTATGTCTTTAGTTTCTTTCACTAATGTTTTGTTGTTTTCATAGTCCCAGTTTTTCACTTCATTGGTTAATTCCTAAGTATTTTTTTTTCTTTTTGGTGTTGTCGTAGATTGAATTGTATGAGTAGCTATCTTTTCAGATTGTCCATTGTTAGTGTATAAAAATGCAACTAAATTTTTTGTTGGTTTTTTATCTTGATACTTTGCTGAATGCATTTATTCTAATAGCATTTTTTGGTGTTTTCCTTAGAGTGTTCTACATATAACATCGTATCATGTGTAAACAATGATGGTTTTACTTCTTGCTTTCCAATTTCTATGCCATTTTTTTCATCCCTAATTGTATTAGTTAGAACTTCTAGTATTATGTTGAATAGATGTGATGAAAGCAGGCATTTTTATCTTGTTCCTGATCTTAAGAGACCTTAATTTTTTTTATTATCAACTACAATATTTACTGTTGGATTTTCATATACAATTTTTATTCCATTTAAGTAATTTTCTTCTCTTTCCAGTTTCTTTATCAGGAAAGAGTGCTAAATTTTCTTGAGGCTGACCACAAATGGTAAAGTACAATTTCTTTACCAATTGAGGTCAGCCTGTATTTTCCTCCTTCAAAGATTAAATGTCTCTTGATAGTACATAACACATATTTTAATGCCATCAATTTATGAGTCACATTTTATAAATCCAAACACATTACTGTTTTATATATTTTTAACTGACCAAAGTACTTGAATTTATACTTAGCAAATGGTAGTTCCATATTTTAACTTATTTGTAAATGACTAATTTTTTTGAGAAGCAGGATTACTGGGTGTAATATTTTTGTTTGGCACTTTCTTTTTTCTTTCAGTATTTTGAACATATCATCCCAGTACATTTTGACCTATGAAAATTCTGCTGAAAATTGGCTAATACTCTGATAGAGGTTCCCTTTTATATAACTTAATTTACTTTCCCCTTCTCTCAATATTGTCCCTTTGTTTTTAACTTTATACATTGTGATTTTGGTGTGCCTTGATGTAGATTACTTTGGATCTATATTATTTAGTGTCTTGTAATCTTCCTTGATCTAGGTCTGCCAGGACTAGAACATTCTCTGCCATTATTTACTTGAATATATATATATTTTTTTTCTCTATTTTATTATTTAGGTATAGCAATAATGCTTGTATTATTGTGAATGGCAGTTTTTCATAAGTCCCTTGAATTGTGTTTGCTCTTTTGATTTTTGATCCTTAGATGGGATGACTTTCAGGGACCTATCTTCATGTCAGTTGGTCTTCATTCTATATGATCTAATCTGCTATTGAATGCCCAATTGATTTTTTTAGTTCAATGACAGTATTCTTCAGATCTGTAATTTTTATTTTTCACTTTTTAATTCTTTCTATTTTTAAATTGACACTCTCAGTTTATTCTTGCTTTTCTCTCCTGCCTTTGATGAGCATTTTAAAAACCATTATTTTGAATTCTTGTCAGATACATCATATATCACTAACTCGGATTGATTTCCAGAAATTTTATCTTATTCTATTAACTGAAGTATATTTTCCCATTAACCTTCATTCTCTGTGTTGATTCATACATATTTGATAAAGAACTACCCCTCCCATCTTGAAGACTCACCTCAGGTAGGAGGAGGATCTCAGTGATCTACTTGGTGGGAAATGTTAACGTTTTTCTCAAATACTTTTTTTTTTTTCTGACCTCTATCTTGGGTTCCTTTGGTGCAGTCTTGTTTTCCATCCTTCTTGTGTCCTTATATTGATATCTGTGTCTATGTTGAAACATTTGTCTCTCCCAACTTTACAGTCTTTCATAGGATTTTAAAAGATTTTTTCTTATAGATGAGTGTTGATTTGGTACAGTGCCTTTGCTTTTGTTCTGCATGAATTAAGTACTGTAGTGTTAGTGCTGTTTCTTCAGAAATAGTCCATGTCAGCAATACCTGAGAGTACCTCTGTGGCAAAAGTTGCAGCAGTTTTTTTCAGTCTTTCCTGAGGAAGGATTATTCTTAAGCTCAGTGTATGCTTGGTATTGCAGGTATGTTAGCTTGGGGGTTGGTCTAATTGGGATACAGAATTGTTCTCACATTAAGTTAGCCTGGCTGGGTATGAGGTGCTAGGCTGATTTCTAAGCCTACACCATGTGTAGTGGGATTACTGACTTGAACTCAGCTTCACCATTGTGTAAGATTGTTTCTTTTCTGGCGGGTCAGATGCTATCCACATAGAATAGCATTATGCTATTGCTCTAAGTCTGAGTTTTAATATCTGGAGTTGTAGCCTTACAGTCACCTGAGTGTGACAGAATAATGTCAGAACCCCTGGTATGTATAGTACAGCTCAATAACAAATTTGTAGAACATTTTTCTTTGACTGTTTTCATAATAGTATTTTTAGAGTTGTATTCATTGTTTCAGTTGAAAAAGTCAAATTTTGCTGATTTTACTTTTTATAATGGATTCAAACGTTTTTCTTATTGGTAAATGAATAATTCAATTGAAGATTACTATTGCTAAAAGAAGACCTTTAGTTTTCAACCCTGGCTGATTGTAAAAATTGTCTGAACCTGTTCCCAGAGCTTTTGATATAATGGTCTCAGGTGGAGACCAAGCATGGGTATTGTTAAATGCTTCTGAGATAATTATGATTTTCTCATCATTTATCTTTAGAAGAGTACTTCTAGTGTTAGATGGTGAGACAAAAACTCCAACTTCTTGCATATACTTTTTATCTTTATAATTCAAAGGTACATAACTATTTCAGTGATGTCACAATTACCTTTTACTTTATGGAGTACTCAGGGATTTTTATGCCAATTCTGGGTAATATGAACTCTGGGATTTTCTTGAAATTTTCTTATGTGTTATTATGCACAAAATCTGATTGCTTATATTTTTTACTTTATTTTGCTTTCCCTTAGTATTGTGAAAGAATGCAGTGTAAAGAAGTTCGGTTCATTATAGATGAGAGTGTTTGCAATGCTACTAGAAATTGTGATAACCATGGGGTAAGTAACTTTAGTGTTCATTTTAAGCACTATGCTATTAACAATTCAATAAACAATTGGGGATTTAAAAAATGATTAGATTTTTTTTGGTAATTTTGTGCTATAAGGTGTTCTTTAATAGTCTATAATTTATAGCTTAAAACTTGTAGTGTTAAGAAACTTGCAAAACCATTATGGAAGTAAAAGATGATTCTGGATATATAAGATGTTTACTAAGTGTTTGTAGTGGATGTGTTTTTGTCATTTTGTAAAAAAAATTGATCTTATTTTTTATAAAAAGAAGGCAGAAAGTGTTTAAAAATGTCATTAGAATCTTATTGCTAGGCTAGCTAGTTTAATTTAGTATGGGCTGTCCTGTGAAATTAGCAAGTAAAATTATAATTAGTGGTATATTGTTAGTAATTACAAGGTATTTGTGTCTGGCTGTGAATAAAGTTAAAAGAATTTTAAAAAATTGATTTGGCAACCGAAGTTATATGTTATATGGCATGCATCAGGGAAAATTTAATGAATTTGTTTATTTAAGATAAAATCTTTGTAATGAGATGCTCTGAGGATTAAGCACAGGCTATCAGTCTTTACAGAAAGCTATCTTTATTATTCCAGGTTTGCAACAATTTTAACCATTGCCATTGTGAGGAAGGATATACCCCTCCTGACTGCGCAAAGAAGGCTGGAGGATTTGGAAGTGTTGATGATGGACATGAAATTAAAATGGGTTGGTGTCCTTAATATTTTGTTTGAAGTTAGATTACACAGATAACCTTATGTCAACAGATATGGCTTTATTTTATTTTATTTGTTAGACTTTTTAAAATCTGAAATTGTAGGTTTGTAATGTTCTTTCTGTCTTAGCACTGACTTTGTTTATGAATAAAAAAGTGTACCTAATATTAGGCAATTTTAAAAGTAGAAATTCCATTGCATATACTTTGACCAGTTAATTCAAATTTTTCACTTTTAATTGTCTCAGATATTCTTAGTTTCAAATGTTTCACTAGTCATGGTTATATGAATATTTCTGGGATTCAGGCTGTCTTTTTTTTCCTATTGACTTGATACTTGGTTGTCTTTCTCCTGCCATGTGACTCCAAAGTAGTCTTATGAAATTTCTTCTTTTGCATTTCACCCTTGCTGTACCTGAGTAGTATTTTGAGGTAAAAAAAAAAAATGAGACTGCATAAAACTAGGGGACATCCCCTGGTTCTACAAGGTATGTCAAACTCATTCAAATTAACTGGGAACATTGGTGAGCTGTCCATCCTATCCCCCTTCTTTTTGGGACTTTATAAGAAAATCATGCAAGTCCTGGTCAGACTTCTCTGTAGTTGGTTGTTATAAGGTGATTAACTTTTTAGAGAGATGATATATAGCCATATCCAACTATGTATCAGGCTAAAAGAAAAGCTAAATGTTACGTATGACTGTGTGTGTATGTGTGTGTGTGTGTGTGTGTGTGTGTGTGTGTATCTATGTGTATATATATATATATTATTTTCACAAAAAAGTAAAAAGTAGATATATAAATGATTATATATTATTATATATTGCTTACATTTGTTGTTTAAAGCATAATAGGACTAGTGAACAGTATTAGTGACAATTGTTTATGACATAAACAAATCTTATTGTTGAGAAAGATATAGTAGCATTTTATAAAGAGAAAAAGAAAGTCCTCCAATGTTGCAATTTAACTTTAATAAACTCTTCACTGGGTCCGTTTTGCTGGCTATGTTCTTAAGGCACACAAGACTTTAAAAACATAAATAAATAGGAATAATTAGACATTCCTTGTATTAAAATAAAAATAACTTTTTGTTCCATGATGTAGTCATATATTTTTAGCCTTTCTGTTTTATTTTCCAATATACTTCTGTGAATTGTTTTTAGCTTTTAAGACACCCTCATTTTTATGTATTAGCAAAACTGAATAAACTTCAACAGTAAAATTTATTTTGACTTGCAACTCTACTCCATATCAAGCCATTATTATTTTGATTGCTGGTGTCAGCACAGCAAAGTGCTTTCAAAGCAAGTGAGGTCATCAAGAAAAATATCTTTGTAATGAAAGTATTGTAGCTTGGATTTCTTGGGATTTTATTTGTCAGAAGCAGCAAGGTCAAGATTTATTTTTCAGGTCTACAAAACATGTCCACTTACTTTGTATCTACAGGCTTGTACTGGAAGAAGGGCTATTTGTCAGTCAGGTCTTTTGCATACTTCATTTTCTAGGTTATGCAGGTCTAAAATGCTTGTCACTTTTAAACACTTCCAAAGTACCTTAGTGTTATAGAGCCACATGAGCATACAATAAGCACTGATAAAATTCAACCTCTCTTTGTCCAGCCTCCTCACCCTACCACATTCTTACCAATCTCTACTATTCATTATTCTATATTCAGTTTGACTTTTTTTTTAAGCTTCCACATATGAGGGAGAACATGTCATACTTGCCTTTCCACATCTGGCTTATTTCACTTAGCATAATCTTTTTGAAGAAAGAGTGGATAAATTTCTGTTTTATTGTATCTTCCCCTTTTCTGTTTTCATCCTCCATGTTATTAAAAATTAGAGAAGAATAACCTTATATTTCCACATTTTAAAATTAAGGATGTATGGCAGGCTCATATGTTAACATATGTTCTAAGTCTGGCAGCAATACTAGTTATCTTGTACATATATATGTCTGCAGAAGTTATCTTCTCTCATAAATAAAAAGAATCATTAGGGGCTGGGTTGTGGCTCAGAGATAATATGCTCATCTACCATGCATGAGACACTGGGTTCAATTCTCAGCACCACATAAAAATAAAGATATCATGTTCATCTGTGTGTGGGCTCTCTCTCATCCAGTTGGATCTTATGGCTTCTCAAATAATTCCATTTTGGTTGATATTCTTCTCTCCAGGTTCCCTAGCATGGCAATGTCACCTTCACCATCCAAGGTGGTAGCCCTAACCCCTTCTTTTGGTGCTTATTAAACTACTTCATCCTTTATCCATTTCCAGTTCCAAAGTCATTTCCACATTTTTAGGCATTTGTTAGAATAGCAGCCTACTTCCCAGTACCAAAATCTGTACTACTATCAAGGTTTCTTCAGAGAAACAGAACAAATATGAAAATGGCTCAATACCATTATGGAAGCTGACAAATGGCAAGACTTTCAAGGTGAATTGACAAACTGGAAAATAATTTAGTAAATGTTTGCAAATATTATATAATCTAAGAAAACATTACATAGTGTAAAAATTGAGCAATCAAAAATATCAGTAAAATATTCCCAACAGCACATTTATATACTTAGTTCATTTTTTTGTTTTTTATTTTATTCACAGTCAATATGAAGGAGGTGTTTGAGGTTTGGGAATAATGTTGATAATAATGCCTTATCCATTGTCTCATTTGGTTATTGAAATCTCTGACCTAATTTCAAATTGATATTTTCTATTCTAGCTGGAAAATCTGCAGATAGAGGTCCTGGTAGTTCACAAAAACAATACTTTCAAGTCAGTATGTACGTTTCCATACCTCTGCTTATCATTACTATTGCCCTTTTAATTAATCAGGATAAAATAAGAAAGCAATGCTTCAGAGAGGAAAGTGAAGCTGACAGGTATGTACTTGTATATATTTACTCTTATAACAGTAAACAAATTGAGAAAATAGTATTTGTGTTTTATCAGAAATGACTATGACTATAGGTAAGGCAACATAAGGAGAGACCTGGAGACACATTCAAATTGATTTGATGTCCATTGTGTGTTTTCCAGTATTGTTCAACCCTAGAATCATTTATTTTACTACCAGTATCCCTGTAGGAGGAAACATGGCTGCCGAGAATATCTTAGAAGTATATGTAGCCTTTTGATCCTGTTAAAACAGCTATATTGCCCATAGGCTTTAAAGAACAGGTGACACTGCATTTCAAGGGAACTTGCTAACAATAGTTTTATTAAACGTGGCTTCTCAGGTCAGTCATCAACACAATATCTGTATTACAACACAATCTCTTTCTGAATTAGAGATAAGATCTTTGAACCTGCTTCCATGATATTTATTACAGTGTCACTTCTTAACTAGAAATCACATGTATGGCGGTTAATATTAGATTCAGAGTCAGAAAGCAGTATTGTATGTAATCTGAAATATAACTCTTAGCTTTGGAAAACTTGTTCACAAATTCTAAATCTTGAATGTCAAACTGATATCTTGAGCAAGTGATTTAATTTTTATGTACTTCAAACTATTCTGTATAACTAACTCCCTAGAGTAAATGATAATGGCTTTCTAATGTATCAAAAACTTTTGGATTCATCAACTGAATAAGTGAAATCACCATATTAACTATAAAGAATCACACACATTTTAGTATATTTAATATTGAGTTTCCTTACATAAATTGCAGGATTTTGCCATATGGAGTACCATATAATGTTTTGATTAATTGAATTTTTTTGAGTGCTACTTAACAGTTGGGGCTTAATTTGATCTGAAGAATTAGAAATACCATAGAGTACAGGGGCCTTCCTATACAGATGGGCTTATGGCATAAATGCTTGAATAAGTACACATTGAGGTGAAAAGAGCCAACCAGCAAAGCAAGGTGCTTGATAGCATTCACTTCAGTAATGAGACTGTGCCTGTTTTGTTTTATGTTGGAAAAAGACATGTTACATATTTGATATTGTTTGCTTGAAGAACAGTCTTTAAAAGAACTTAAAATTTTCTCCACTTTTAAATAAATTTATTGATTTCATAGATCTATGGCAGAAGAAAACACTACCACTAGCAGCATCAAGTCATCCCCCACTGAAAAGTGAGTATGGAACAATGTAATAAATCACCTTGCAACCTATGTTTTGATCATTGTCTAGGACCACTTAAAATGGTTCCTTTAAAAACAATTATATTTATTCATAATATTCTTTGTTATTCTCACTAGAGTTTATTTTATAATTATAAGCAATGAAACTTGGTTTCTTCATTTCTCAATCTCCCCTCCCTGTCCTATCCTGAAGGAAGGGTGTTTTGCACTCACCCTAACATTTATGGGAATATATATTAATTCAATGATATCATTAAAGATCTGGATGCTATAATTTTAAATTTTCTTACAAAGTTGATATTTGGGCATGCATCAGGACACAAAAGCCAAGTCAAATTAAGCCAACCCTTGAATAATCATTTTAACTTATATTTTGATTAATTAAATAAATCACAATAGCAAATGCATCATTCATGGAAAAGTGTATGTAATATGCTCCACTCACTCCAATAGGATGTACTACAAAGTCACGTGGCAAATAAGACACATAAATAATTACATATTGAGATATTAGTAAAGAACTGGAAAAGTAATTTAAATGATTACATCCTCCAAATATTTAAGGAACAAACTATGTCATTCTTATACATTCTGATGTAGAGAATATGGGGTGGTTATTAAAAAAAAGCAAACCTAATCATTTTTATAGATGAATAAGAATTATATGAAAATCCATATGTAGTAGAATGAAATTTAACCCCTATCTCTTACCCTGAACAAAACTCAAAAATGGATCAAAGACCTAGGAATTAGACCAGAGATCCAAAGGAGTAACGCCAAAGGGAAAAAAGGACAAAAGAGCTGCAACACAGAGAAAAACATTAACAAAAGGCACCATTATGTCCTTACGTAAAGTAATTCACTTAAATGAACATAGATTAAATTACCCAATCAAAAGGAATGAATGTACTAACAAAAGAAAGAAAGAAAAACACGATCCAAATAAACTCCAAAATACTAACTTTACAATTAAAGGCTCTCGTAGACTCAAAATGAAGGGATGGACAAAACTATGTGAGTGGCACCAAAAGGAGCATAGAGACAGCAGTTTCCAGTTTCTGGGTATGCATCTGAGTAGAGCAGCACTCCATGTGCTCACACTCATATTGCTGACCTACATGCTGCAGATGATATCTGTATTTGTACTCTATCCTCCTGCAATATCCCTTGATGCCCTCTACTGAGATGTTGTTTAAAGAGTTTCCATTAAAAATTGCAGAACACATATATAAAGGTGAATTTCAATCTGGGAGGCACTAGGTAAGCTAATGGGTAAACCTATGATTCAGAAATTCCTCTGTCTCCAATAGCAATGAGTGATTTTTAAATTGAAAGTATAAGAATGCTTATTATAGATTTATTCTTTATTTAATTTTTTTAATATTTATTTTTTAGTTTCTTTTAGGTGGACACAATCTTTATTTTTTATTTTTATGTGGTGTTGAGGATCGAACCTAGCGCCCCACACATGCCAGGCGAGCGCACTACCACTTGAGCCACATCCCCAGCCCTAGAAATATATTTTTAAGTTTTAAAGCACCACATAAACACCAGATTACATACCATGGAGTGATATGTAATATTTTGTTTAACAAGATATCATATCACAACAAACAATAGCCGAGTAATGAAGCAAAAATCTTTAAACTCTAGAAAATACATACACTTGTACCACCAAATTGGTGATTAATTAATCATATTCTTATAATTTTGATTTTGAATCTCTTGGACCCAAAATATTCCTGAAAATTATCGTTGTCAACTCTAGATATACTTGTTTGAATTATTAGTATGTGGTTGGTTGAAAAATTTCATTGAAAAAAATTCTTGACTATTGTCTGAAAATCTTTATACACACACACACACAAACACACAATGCAACACAACTTCAAATATGTGCCCCCCCAAACATTATAATTTTATTTTAGATATAAATGTGAAAAATAAAATAAGAAAATATCTAAAATAAAAATTTGGAAAAATCAAATATCATTTTTACCTTTAGTAAGACACAAACAATATTAACCATAAAGAAAACCCATGGATTTGTTGAAATTAGGAGTTTCTAGTCATTAAAACATTGCTATGAAAGTGAAAATGTTATCCACAGGATTGGAAGACATACTTGTATTCAACAAATGTATATTTGTTCACATTCTGTATATATGGTATACAAAAAGAACACACACACACACACACACACACACACACACACACTCACACTGAGGGAGAGTATTCATAGCAGAACTAATTGTGATACCAAACTACTAGAAACAATCCATCTTTAAGTTTTTACTCTATTCTTTCCCCAAATCAATAATGTTCATATGGTTAAATATTTAATGTAAACCCAAGTGTTTTTTTTTTGAGACATAGACAAGAAGAATTGGGAAAAGATTCTGAAATTCATATGCAAGAAGAATGTATGGTAGCCAGGCAAATACCATCTAATTTTCAAAAAGTATTTTTTTTATTTCAATGTACTATGGAATACATACTAAAATATCTAAGAAACTTTGAGAGATGTGAGAATTAAAATTAAATTCTCATAATCATATTACCCAAAGAGGGTGTATGATAACAATTTATATGTGCATCTTCTTAAATGTTTTTCTAAGTAAAATATTAGAAGACCTTACATATACTTTTGTTCAAGAATATTATGGACAACTTTCTTTTTCTTAAAACATGGATCTCTATCACCACTTTGTAACATAAAAATAATTTATTTTAAAAGTCCACTGTTATGAATATTTAGGGTATTACCAGTTTTTAGTTATTACAAACATCCTATAAAAAATACCTCTGCATGGATGTAAACATCTTGGAACAACTGTCCAGTTAGGTCCTGGAATAAATTCTCAGAAAAGAGATTGATCAAAGAATGTTTACTTTTGTGTCTTAATTTAACCTATTGTTAAATTACCAGCTAATTGTGTCAAGTTATAACTTTTCTGAATTATTAGTTTTTAGTCAACTTGACATGTGAGTGGTAGATTTCCTGAGCCTTAGCATATCTTAAAATTTACTTTCTTTTACTATTTTATAGAATTTTCTTTGTAATTTTCCACTGTGATATTAAGGAATGAGGTATAAAAAGTATGGAAATAGAAGTAGGAACCATATAATATGATCACATAGAATTAAAGAGCTTTGAAGACTACATTTAACATGAGGGATGTTTCACATATTTTAACATTCTCCAATCTCCATTGATTTTTATGCTATTTAAATTAAGATTTTAGATCTAGGTTACTGTTAAGAAACCTCTGCTTTTTGTATATTTTTTGGTTTTAAAAATATTTTGTAATTTTCACCATTATACTTAAGTTTATAAGTAAGTACAGTTAACTTAAGTAATTGAATTTATGTTATGTTTAATTTGTTTCATTATTCATAATTTTAAAGGATGCTTTTAGCTTTGATGGTATTAAGATTCTGGTCTACCCAGAAACCTCGAATTGCCTGAATCTTGTCTACCTTCACTCTCCTAATTCATTCAATAAATTGTGAGATCTAAATCATTCTGCTTCTTATGACACTTAAACAAATTAAAAACATTTTTTAAAAATATAGGTATGCAAAAAAAATGAATTATGGTCAATCCTGGCCCATCCAGGGATGATCACTGTTCAAAACTTTCAGTGTATGGGTATATACCCTTGTGTGCATGTGTGTGTGTGTGTGTGTGTGTGTGTGTGTATGTATGCACTTATGTGCATATTGATGTTTTTATTTAATATAAAATATAATAGTTAGAATTAGCCTTCTTTTTCCTTTTAATTTTAAATCAAAATTATTTCACATATTTAGAATTGAAATTTCCATGGCCCTTCATTTATTGACTTGAATAGGTACCAAACATGGATAAATAAACACTTAGGGTATTTTAGGAAGCAATGTATATTATAAAACTGAGAGTATCTGGGCTGGGGTTGTAGCTCAGTGATAGAGCGCTTGCCTTACATGTGTGAGGTGTACTGGGTTTGATTCTCAGCACCACATAAAAACAAATAAAATAAAGGTATTGTGTCCATCTACAACTAAAAATAGAATAAAAAAAAAAGAAAAACTAAAAGTATTTGTAGTTGAAGTGACAGGTAATTGTTTTTTGGTTTTTTTTTCTTTCTGGGATTAGTTTTCATTTTCTTAATTATCTTGAATCACTTGTATCTTTTAAATTTTGTGTTTTGGTTTCTTCTACAGCAACAGTTCCTAACTATCTTGAATGCTAATATCTGAGAGAGAAGAAAGTACCAAATCTATCATCATAAACTGGCTTGAATCAAGAAGGAAAAAAAAAATCTCTCAGCTCTGTTGTCACTACTAAAGGGTTGAAACTATGAAAAAAATAAATCACCTTGCCCCAAATCTCCTGAGTTCTGTACTATATTGTCTCTGTGTATTCAGGACCAGTTTTTACTTTATCTTTCCTAACTTGCCTGCAGAAGTGGCTCTAAGTCAGGTGAGAAACAGCCTAAGACTCTCATCTTCTGATACTAACAAGACCTATCCAGCTTCACAGCCCAAGGGCAGAGTGTAGGCTCTTTTCTTCTACTTATAGGTCTGACTCTACTTTCCATAGTCTGACCACCTCACTTTCCTTCAGAGTGCCTTCAAACTCTGACTTGGCATTTACTCAGACATAATCTGAATCCAATCCCTTTAAGGCTACTACTTTTCCTTGTACACCTGTTTTAGTGTGTTGAGCAATCTGTTCACGAAAAGTAGATTTACCATGAAGCTAAAGAAGCAACAACTTCAGGGCCATTTACCCACATAACCCCTTTTTGGCCATGGACCTAATTTGTATTCTTATGTTCATCAAATTTTTATGGTTCAGGCCATACTGAACTTGGCTCTGTTTCTGCTGTGTACCAATTTCCTTGGTAGTGGTGATCTGGAGCTTGTTCACACCTGCCCACAAGAGCAGAATTATTTAAAATGTCAGAATTTATGCTGCTTAGCTGTCATACATGATTTAAATTTAAATAATAAGTTAAAAATACTTAGACTGATCATTATTGTTTTATAATTTAGTTTCACTTTTGCTCTTGAGGTTATAGTTACCATATCTTTATAGTGGGATTACTATAAAGTATTATACTGTGTGTCCTGCTGCCTCTCTTTTCAAGTCTTCTAAAAATAGTGGTTTGAAATTGGCCTTCACTGAAACGGATAGACCTATAAATTTGGGATCCTTTATCTTCCAGAGGGTTAGATGTATAACATATATCAGCAAACCACTGCCTTTGAGGGCATTTCAATTTCCTTTGAGTTTTCTTTTCCAGTATTTTGATAGAGGTGCATTGGAGAAGATAATTGTAGCTTTAATCTATCCCCAACTCTTCCTGGAATCAGAATACCCAGTTGGTTGGTTCCCTGTTAAGTTTTGACATGGTTTTTGGTGAGGCTGAAAGCTACCTCTGGCAGAGGCAAATAAGGTGTGTTTCAGATCTGCTGGGTTTTGGAGTGTAGAGGAGCAGCTGAGTTGTTCTGTGTTTACATTCCCACAAGTCTAAGTGTCTTGCCCTTAGAGCTGTTCAAATACTGATGAGCCGGGGTGTCTGAAGAAAGGAACAGGAAGTAAGGCCAAATTTCCCAGGTGCTACGAATAACTACCAAATACTTCAGTACCTCTGGACCAACAAGGTGAGTCTGGAGTTCCATATAAAAGAGCATTTGTACTTTCACTGTCACCCACCCTAAAATGCTCAGAAGAGTTAAGAAAGATTTTCAAAGATGGAGTAGAAAACGTCTTGCGAAGAGTCACTGCGCTTTGGGATTTGAAAAGGAAGAGGAGTGCTGCAGGTGTGAAGGTGCTGCCAGATCAGAATGTTTTCTGAAAGAAAAATTTCCTATTCCTCATAATTTCGCCTGAATTGGTCAAAGGCCAGTGAAGATGTAAACATTATGTAGTTGTGAAATACTTTAAGGGCATTTAGGAAGAACGGGGTTTAGTAATTCTGTAGTTAGCATTAAAGGTCTGTCCTGTTAGGCAGTTATAGTTAGGGGCATTTATTCACTTTATAGGTATAAGTTCTCAAACTCAAAATGTAAAATTATTTTCTCATTGTTCACTGAAGAGAGGGTTCAGTCTTTCTCTGAAATTACTAGAAAAATCATCACTTATGTATATGCGGTTGTGGATTACTTTCACTTCTTTCTCTGGCTTTCTTAGTTGATATTTGAGTGTTCTATTATCTAAAAGAAGAATGCCATTGAGTAAAGACAGTAGTAAATATTTATTAAATTAAAGCATACTCTGTGATCACAGATTCTATTCCAGTGTTAGTAAAGTATGACCTCACTTAGACATGGGTACTATGCATCTCAACCCATTATTTAACGAAGGTATAATAATACTACTCTCACTAAATCATGCTATCCTGGAAATCCTATACATTTCACATTTATTTTTATCACTTTAATGTTTACATAAGATATTAAATGCATATCTTAAGTATTTTTTTTGCTTTGATCATTCTTATTCCAGAGCTTTTGGGTTATGCATATAATGAAACTGGCCATTTGCATTTAGATTCTTCACATGTTAAAGCAATAAATGTCCTTGACATGTTTCTTTCTTGAAGTAGACATATCACTAATATTGAGAATTTTTTCCACATTGATCACAAATAGTTCACTTTGTTTTATGTAGAAGTTGCATGGGAATAGACATGAAACTCTGGTAGAAGAGTACTTGTGAGTCCATAGGTGGTACAGAGTAAGAAGATTTAAAAACCTTTTTTTTTTATGTACACATGTGTTAATAATTCTGTTTGACATTCTTATGACAACTTATGTTCTAAAACTTCAGCAATATTGACAGTGTACTTAGTATTCACAAAGAATTAATTTACTTTCTATATGATTTTCTAAATGTATTTTTTAGTATGCAAGGATATTTTGTGGAGTGAACAAATTCAGTTATAACTTATAACATTTTGCACCCATTCTGAAATCATCTCATAGCCTTTTAGGGGATATACATACATAAAGAATTTAGGATATACTTGAAAATGTGGCTCACATGAAGAGGAATCCTTTTCTTTTTTTGCGGTGGCATATGGTTATATAGATCTGTAAAACCTTAAGAGGGACAGATGAAATTTTCAATAAATGGGCCCATGATGGTTGGCCCTTGAATATGACAGCACTTAGTGTGTTTAGGAGGATGTGGAGGGGACCCTCTCATCAGGGGGTAACCTGTCAGTATGTGTTTCTTTTCCAAGTCTTTAATAGAATAGGGTTCCTGGGATGAATTTGTGGAAAGATAAGGTTGGATCGAGGTGCTGGGACCACTTGATTTCTGAATTCCAGAGAGCCCTTTGTACCTGTCTCCAATCTTTTGTATTATAGACTCAATGGCAAGGACTGAGGTCAGAAGTGATCTTCTGTGGTGCTTTTCTTAAGGGTTCAGTTGAAGAGAGGTTCTGGGACAATTCTGACTCTTCATATGGCCAGAGTCATTAACCAGCCTTCTAAGGTATCTTGGGTTAATTTTGCCAAGGCACTTTTGATACAAAGCACTTTTCCTGATGACTGTGTGTGTCCAGAGGTATGACTATGATAAGTAATGTTCAATGCCCCTGAGACTTATTTTGTCACTTTGGAGATAAAGAAAGGTCCATTGCCACTCTGGCCCAGAAAGTTCAAACTAAGGAATAATAAACCTTTAGTGACCTCTTGGTCCTTTTTTGGTTTGGATGGAATATGATTTTATCCACCCAGAAGAAGTATGAAAGGCATACCTGGAGATTGTATCTTGGTATTGCACAGGGTTAAGTAAAGGACAGAGCTTGATCCCTACCCCCATTGCTACAGAGGCATAGAGGGCAAGTCCTTGTGACCCCTCAAATGGAGGATTCAAGATCCTCCCTAACCCTAAAGGTTCAGGTGACTTATCAGTAAATGCTTCTCTTCTTAAATGACACAAAACATGAATCCTTTTAACAATTTTTCCTTGGTCATTCTCAGGTAGTGAAATTTTATGATTTCCCAACTCTTTAATCCACAAGTCGTCTTCTGCTGGCTTATTTTGCGAATATCTTGCCTATGTTTCCTCAAATTTTGAAAAAGAGGAGTTTGTGTCCAAGCTTGGGGTAAGGTATATTATAGCCATTTCTGAAACATTTTGAAGTTGATCTTAGTTTTCTGGATTAAAGAAAAAATTGCCTTTTTGGTTTATCATGCTGTACATGACTGCTTCCTAGAAGGGTAGATGTATTCTTTCCAGGAAAGTGGGAATTTCAGGCTCATGCTTGGGGAGTTTTTTGGTTAGGAGGTCCCCTTTATTTTCATATGGCAACATAAGCATGAGAGAATACTAAAGCCTATCTAAGAGTTAGTATAGAAGCTGACTTGTATTTATCTTTCTCTGGTTGTAGTGATTGGGTAAGCAACATTATTTCAGCCCCTTAAATTGCTGAGTTGCTTGGGGGAAGGGATTTTGCTTCAATTACCTCTTGTGTGTTACTCAGCTTTATGTCTCTCTGACAAACACCTGAGAAGAAACAACTCCAAGGAAGAAAAAAATTACTTTAACTCACAGTTTCAGACCATGGTTGACTGCTCCATGGCAGAAATATCATGGCAGAAGGGTGTGGCAGAGACAACTGCCAGGCTTATGGCAGATGGGATGCAGAGATAAGAGGATGGAGCTGGGGACCCCAAAGGCATGGTCACAAAGACCCACTCTTTCAATTAGGTTCTACCTCCTGAGGCAGGAGGACAGGGAACAGGGTAAAAAATGGAGGTTGGGGAGATGGAGACATGCAGGATGAATGAAGAACTGACACCAACTGAACTTAAGCTACTGCCAGAACTTGGATCTTACAGTGACTGAAACTTGAAACTTAGCGTAATTGGATTTGAAAAGTATGAGGATTTGACAAAATGTTTCACCTCATTTGTATATGGACCCAGCCATTTGTATATGAGACCCGTGTCCATATTCAGAATATAAGAACACAAAACTGAGACCCATTCCCGCTAGGTGAGTCTGGTGTTCCTTTCGTAGGCAGTGTACTTGTGCTTCAATAAATCTTTCTCTGTCCCGTGTGTGTCTCATGCAATTCTTTGTTCATGACCTGGAAAATCTGGAACTATGAACTTTGTGGTTGTACAAATCCAGGAACACTACTACAGTTCTTAATAATGCCTTCAAACTGTTAATCCATCAGTGAGATCAGATCCAATCAATCCCCTCATGATTTAATCATTACCCCCCAAAGTCACACCCTCTGAACCTTGCTGCATTGGAGAACAAACTTTCAATACATGAGCTTTTGGGGGACATTCCAGACCCAAAGCATAACATCTGGAGACTAAGAAGTTATAGAACCTGCTCTTTAAGCTCCAACACCCAT